GGGGTCGAACAACCCTTTCACAGGGGTCACCCGATTCATAACAGTTGCAAAATGTCAGTGATGAAGTAGCAACGAAAATAACTATGGTTGGGGGGTCACCACTGCATGAGGAACTGTATGAAAGGGCCGTGGCATCAGGAAGGTTGAGAACCACTGCTCCAGACCGAGGGGAAGAGTGGGGCAAAGATACAATCAGTTTGATGAGAATCCAAGGTTCTGGAAGGGGAAATGGGTTAGGAACATAGCATTTTAGCAACAGTTTTAAATTCTAGGCTAAACTTGAACTCTAATTCATAATCACCAAAACGACACTAAAACTTTGGGGGTGGAAGATGTATAAAAAAAGTGAACATTCGCCATTCTGAAAAATTAGCTTCTATTTCTACTTTACGAGCCACTGTTTGTTCCTTTGGAGCCTCTCAAAAACCTGTGGGAACGGTTGTGCTTCAGCTGCGTACAGTTGCGGAATGGATGGCAGCATTTCTTAATTATACAAGCCCCCTGGGGTGCCCAGCTCCCAGCAAGCCTTCATTAGAAAAATAATGGCACGTTTTCCGTGACACTGATAAGGTGACAGGTGTAGCAGCACCTTCTCTTGGTTTCACCCATTTCAGAAATGACCAAGGTGTCCCTGAGCCATGAGGCTCTGAGGAGGAGGGGCGAGGAGAGCCGGGGCAAGGAGGGGAGAAGGCTGTGCAGGAATAGGCCCACAGAAGGAAGTGTTCAACGAGAAGCTACCTCTCCCTCCAGGCACCCTGGTGGCACAGTAGTTGTGTGCTCAGCAGTTAACGGAAAGGTTGGTGGTTCAAACCTGTCTGTTTGACATGGGAAGAGGAGGGGGCAACCTGCTTCCAGAAGGACCCCTCTTTCTGCGATGGTGAGTCTGGCTCACAGAGATCCTAGAGGGCAGAGAAGGGTCCCCGAAGGTTTCCAAGGTGACAGACAGTCTTACAGGGTCTTTCTCCCAAAGAGCTGCTCGTGCAAACGAACCACTGAGCACGAAGCATTGTGCCGCTAGGTCTGCTTCCCATCAAAAGGAAAGCCGGGGATCGTGGACTGGGGGGAGAGGCCTTAGCAAAGATAATGGTGAGCAAGGAACGAATTTCTAAAATCCGTAGAAAGCTGCAGTACCTCCACAAGAAGTATAAATAAATTATCCCATTAAAAAATGGACAACCCTCTTGTTGAACTCCTGCCCTGTCCAGGAGGTATCAGATGATCAAGAGTCCCTGTCTCCAATCTCCCCAGGAATTGGAGCAGGACTAAAAGTGAACCCTCCTGCCGTGTCCCCCTCCCCGCCTCCCCCCTCATGAATATTCCCTTTACCTTCTCAGAGCCAACAGGGAGACTGATGGCATCAGTTTAGGTGTGTTGCTACCTGTATCAAAAGCCAGACACTCTTCCGAGGTCTCATTTTTAGTGTTTTTGTTTAAATCATGTATAAAAGGTACTTTTCAAATGCAGTATTTTTTGTTTTCAAAAAAATCAATAAACACTATTTTTACAGCAGATAATAATAATAAAAGTGGGCAAAAGCCTCCCTCACTGCCATCTAGTCAATTCTGACTCAGAGTTACCCTCCCGGACGAAGCGGGACTGCCCCTGCGGGAGTTCTGGAACTCAATTAGTCACAAACTAATATAGTGACAAGATTTGTAAAGCATTCCAAAATTGAAGACATCACCCAACCCATTCAAAAAGTTTTTCCCCCTCTCTGTTACACATAAAAGGAGAAGACATTTTTGTTGTTTTTAACACAATGTGGAATAGGGTGTATTTAACCCATTTCTTAAATATCAATTAGTATGGGTTTCAGGTTTCTGAGCAGCGGAGATTGTTCACCACTCAAGTTTTTGCCTTGTTTGTCACCCCCC